TGCCAAAATCGCGGCTATTTTCCCCAAGGTAGTCCACAATTTCAGAATTAGCCAAACCAAATGCAGGAGAAGCGAGGAGTTCCCCAACGAATACAATGAACAAAAATATGAGAAATATGGTGTCGATGTCTTGCGGGTTTTTTTCTAAGATAAGGACATGATCGCCAACCAGAGGTGCCTGCCTTGGAGTGCGCTTCTTTATCGGTGGTAGAGAACGTCTTGAGGTAGACTGTTCCAGGATTTCAGGTTTTTTTTCCTCCCGACGGAAAAGGGATTGCAAAGCGTGGGTTTGGTTACGGCGATTCGTATTCTCGTTCGCTTTACTCTCGACATGAGACTTGATCCACTCGTCGTTAGGATGAGGGGAATTTTTGCCCTCTTGAGGAGTGATAATGCGACGCTTGTTTTCATCCAGGTTCTTTCCCAATTCCACTGAGCACTCATCGTGTGTTCTTCTTGGAATTAATGACACTAGTGGTATAATAGCCGTGGACAGAATGCTCATCATCAGCAACGCACGGCGAATCTTCCGCTTACTTGCCATTTTTCCAAAGATGACCCCGCCAAGGGAGTATGCCACGCCCCAAACGGCTCGTAAGATGCCGATCTGAGTCGGAGACAAGCCAAGCTGTTGCCAGTAGACTGGCATAAAGAATAACTTAAAGCTAAAGCATGTCTCGAAGAAGAAGTAAAACGAACTTAATGCAATCCTAGTTCTGTGCTGCGAACAAAATTCCGAGATGCAAATTGACTTTTTCCCGGGTTCTTGTGAAGGAGTACTTGACATTTTTCTTTCTCTCTTTGCTAAATGCCTGAGACAAAGTAAAAACAAACAAACAAGCAGCTTAAACAATGCTTCTCAACGTTGAAGCAGATGGCCATTCTGTGACTGTGTAATTTGGAGAGGTCAATCAATAGTTATTTTCGTACATTTAGATTATGTAAAACAGCTTATATATGGTGCAAACGGTATATGAAAACTATGTTAACATGTGCATTGAGTATAATAAATAACAGGTTAAAACCCTTAAAATATGTTCAGTTATTTCCCATGTGTTTAATAACGTTAAGGTGTGACGGAAATCTATTTTGTAATTACCGAGTTTAAGTAAAAGACCGGGTTGAATTTGTCTGAGTTATTAGCCGCTTTTTCCTTTTTCCTTTCATGTCAATACCGTGGCCTCTGACCACTTCTAAGAACGAACGCTTTACGAGGTGTAAAAGGAGAGAATGGGTAGCAAATGGGTTATCGAAATAAGACGAAAATTCCCCTAACAAGTTTGCTGGTTTGAGGAATTTTCGAACACTCCTTGTTCAGTTGATACTTTCTTTATTTCCTTTCTTAAAACTCAATACAACATGCTAGCTCGGGTGTTGGAAACTGTACGATACGTTAATAATTCTTAATTTGATTGACATTTATGAGTGATTTCGTTTATACATAACCAAACAACATGTATGCGGCACGTGTTTATCGCCCCATATATGGCACTGTTCCACGTGCTTGCAACGAGACGTTGAGGGTGTGTTTCCTTCGAATAAGCTGAGAGTTGTGAGTGGGAGTAAACCGAAGCGTTGTAGTAAAATCGTTAAATCAAGTGAATAAATCGTGAGTTAATAAGGAAGCGTGGTACAGCTTTTCACGTTTTCGATACGAGGTCTAACTCATCTCTCTTGGAGAGTGTTGGTCTACAGCTTATAAAGGTGACAGTTATAACTACCTGTCAATATTTGACCAACATCACTATTTCTCACTTAATTAGCCTGCGAATCATGTCGAATTACGTGAAACAATTTACTAAGTATGTACCTTCGGTTTCTTGATTCGACTTTCTGCCTAAAATTTCATACTTTTGCGGGTAACATCGGCCAAAACAAAAACAAGATTGATAATATAAAAACTATAAAGGACCCATTGCGTAGATTAGAATAACACTTAAAAAGATAACTTAAGAGAAAATAGCCCTTGAAGTTTGTTACATAACAACAGAATATACGGAGAATTTTAGAAAGAACGGCTTATCCAAGGTTCCGCCCCCAAAAGAACAACCATCTGTTCATATAATTCAACTGATCATAAATTCAGTGCGAAAGATCAAAAGAATAAGCTGTGTACACCTTTAATCACCTTACAGAAAGAGGTGTTAAACGTGCTAAATTAAGAACTATTTTCTTGATCGGAAGTTCGACATGAAATTGATCTAAAAATGAGCCTTCATTTCATGCAGTTCTTGTTAAATTCGTGATAGGTGAACAAGCAAGGGCCAATTCGACAAAAACAACAAAACTATACCCCAGCAAATGTTTTACTATAATGTGTCAGAAAAAAGTAAATTCCTACAAAGCGAAAAAATAACAATTACTACACAGACATACTACCTGAAAGCCACTGCAAAAGAAATTAAAGAAAACGATGAAAATAAAGCTGCTTACCAAATACAGAAGATAACTAGGGTTAGCGATTGGGAAGACCGAGAAAGGGAAAAATCTACTTCTACGAACACTGATTACGGATAGGCACAAAAAACTCTGGTAAAAAGAAAGGGGCGAGACAACAAACTAGATGACTAAATTTACATACAGCACGTAACAAAAGGGCGTAATAAACAAAATACCGAAGAGCAAAAAAAAAGTACACGATAAATGGAAAAATCTGCGTCGACAATGGGAGAATATGCCATAATCATAATAATATTTATAATCGCTAACAGCTTCATACAAACTTTTGTGAAGGATCTTATGCTGTGAATATACATCAAACGTCCCTGTAGAACTGAGTTCGACACGTATTTGATTTTGTTGTTGAAATTCGTCAACTCGTCAGAATTTGGCAAAAAACACAGTATGAAAAAGCGGTGGTCACAGGCCCTACTGTCACTCTGATCTTCAAAAACAGTGCTGTTATGTTCTATAGTTCTATACATGCATCGCAACTGTAAGTCATCAAGACCCTTGCAATACTTAAATCAGTCACCTCATACTCCGGACGCTAGTTTTTCAAACAAGAGATATAACGTCTCCTTGACCAACATAAGGGGAATTCTCATCTCAACCCGTTATTCTTAAAAACTAATAACTTCATGACTCGATGGGTCGTCTATAACGGTAAACAGCATAAATATAAGGGCGCCTGCCTACAATAAGAATGAAACTCACCTTGGCACCCACAGAGTAATTACTTTAGAGCGTAAGGATGAAAAACGTCGCTAACTAAGTGAGTAAAAACGTCCTTATCATGCTTACAAAGCATTTAAAAGAAAGTGGTACGTGTACGTCGTATCACATTAAATTTTGAAACGCCTCAGGAGGTTTGTTGCTATATAGAAGCAAGGAGCCTATTTTTTTTTGGGGGGGGGGACGTCCCAGCGTGTACCAAGCGCGTTACAAAATGATATCTCTTTGTGTAGAACTCAGAGGAAATTTACCGCGTACGGTCGTATTTAATTTTTGGAGGCTCTTGCTGGAAAATTTTGGTGCCATTAGCTGTGCGAGAGGCATAAACAACAACTAAAAATCAATTCTTAACCTGGGCTGACACATATAGCAGTAGAGGAAGTTTGTTGCCTCGCCACGCGCCAGACGGCGTACAGGGGTGTGAGTGAGAAAATGAATTCAGTTCTCAAACACACGCTTTACCGCTTAGTCTTTTTATTGCAGCTCCATCGCTCAAGAATCTTTCAATACTTGAGGCTAGTTGGTCTAATCCCTTGGCGTGCTTTAGGAGGTCTTCGTATCAAATTCGCACTTGTTCGTCTTGCGTCGCAAATCGCCCTCGGGCCTTAAACTGAAAATTCGAGCGTGAATCCAAGTTTTTAACTTTTTAAGCTTCAAGAACTCAAGAAATAGATGAAAAAAACAGGTGAAAATGATGAGTGTAGTGGATAAATTTTCACATGCCTTGCAAATACTGTTTACATGCCCTCCACATGGCTAGTGTTACATGCATATTAAATTTTGATGTGCATGTAATCAGTCACCCCGTTTTCCGGAAGATAGTTTTCAAAATATGAATAAATCACCTCTCCGTAAACGACAAAAGAGGGACTCTGATCTCAACGGATTATTCTAGAATTGGTCACTTCTGGACTTTAAATACATGGGTCTTTTTTTAAAACGGGCTCCTGCTTGCAGAACTAAACTTCGTTGGAATTTTCAAAGTTAGTTTTACAGAATCTATGGATGAATTTATTGTTATTTACAAGGCACGCCGGGGATATGTATAGAACATATCGAGACCTTGGAGGGTCAGACAAAAACGCGGTGATTATCGTTACAAAACATCTAAAGGAAAGTGGTACGTGTCGTTCATATCAGTTTTTCAAATGCCCTGGGGTTTATTTTTTTGGATATGGCATTTAGCATATTCAAGTTTTAGCAACAGCTGGTATGCATTAAGCGCACTTCACTTTTAATGCAGTAAATTGTTGTCTATTTGATCAGGTTGTCAAATGATTTCTAGAGCAATTTGGCACAAATATGCACGAGTAACTCTTTCAAAGACCAACAAAATTGCACAGACCCAAAGGGCAAGTGAAATTTATGGCCGAAAGAAAGTTTGAAGTCTGGTGAAACAGTTTTTGCTATCCTTTTCCTCTAAACTACTCTTTTCTTTACTGGAATACCTCTCTCTTACATTGTATTACTTCAAAACTGGATTTCTCTCAGCTAATCAGAGTGAAGACATTTTTTAAGCTTACTGTTACAGTCCAAATGATTGCCTCCGCAAGAGAAGAAATATGGTCGGCAATTAGCAATAATAAGTAATAGTAAGCAATAGAATAATTTTTAGAATGAAGTGACTGTAGCTGAGCATACAGTTTATGTTCTTAATTGTATTTCCTTCAATTTCCTCAGTGTTACGTTTGTTTTTATATTCGTCGACAGCCTGATGTTGAAAGCGTGACGGCAACGCACCTTTAGTTTTGAGGTTACAGGTCCCTGATAGACCAAAATTGCGGGTGTACTTAATAGCAATTTAGGGCTATTGGCTGTTTCGTTTTAATCTGTGCTCCCCATAACCTTCCGGTGGCTCTCATTTTCGCGGTTCTCTCTCTCTCTCTCTCTCTCTCTCTCTCTCTCTCTCTCTCTCTCTCTCTCTCTCTCTCTCTCTCTTACTGTGTTTCAATTTACATGAACTACTATATTTCCTTATACTCTTGTTGCGATTGAATTTTCGTCCCAGTTTTTGTGTCTTATCACGTTGAAATTAGTCTTTCCCCGTTTTGACCAGCAATTGCGCTCGCTTCTGTATTCTCGTAAAAGGTCTTCTCTTTGAGTTTGCTTAGTTTGTCACAGTTTCTTTGTAGAAAACTTGCAATTTAATCTTACGGCTGAGTGTTTTGTCCACGTTAAATAAAGTTATCTCTACATTTCTATCTTTTCGACGCTTTGCCATTCGCATTACTCGTTTCATTTTTTCATTTGACATGTCTTCCTCGTCGTTTCCATCTGAGCCTCTTTCTTTCTCTTTCGTTTGCAAAGCATATAAAAAAGATTTAAGTTGGCGTAATGTTAGCCTAAAGCTGTTACAAAGTTCCGCTTTACGTCACATTTACATTATGTAAAGGCAAAGCTTTACGCAGTTTTTACACTATGACGTAAAGCGTGATAAGACTTCCCTAAGAGGTGTAAAGGTAGTGTAAAGTAGAGATTTACGCCAGCTTTACCTATACACATAAATGAAGAGTATAAGCGTCGTCAAGCCAAATTTACTCTTGGCGTAAAGTCAACTTTATTCTTGAGTGTAAAGGAGCTGTATAAACTGCTTACTTATTGTGAAAATTCAAATCCTATTAGAACAGAAACTAAACATTCAGCTTTACTTTATATGACTTAAGGGAAACATGAAAGCAAAACTGATTAACTGGTTGCCCTCTTTTAGAGTCTGATTAAAAAGTTGTTTATTAGGAATAGGGACAGTCAATCCATCAATCAATCCAACTGCTGTGTTCACAAATGAATATAGGGGGGTAAATTTCTAAGAAAACTGTGGTGCTGCGTCGGTGGGAGAGTATAACAGGTAATTTAATGTTAACAACTGACTTGAAAACGTAAATTGGCCACCATAAAGAGTAAAAAAGCTAAGTTTACTCTTTACGGTGGCCAATTTACGTTTTCAACTCAGTTGTTAACACTAAATTACCTGCTGTGTTCACAATCTTGTATATTTGTCATAAAAACATGCTCTCGTGCATGCATGTATGTAATTTAACATTTGAACATTTCTTAGGAATAACATGTAGGACATTATTTGTAATCTTTGTCGTATTTCAATAATTTTTCTGAAATAAAATCACAGAAAATGAAAACCTTGTTTTAAAAATATCAATCAGTTATATAATTATTGAGAAGGCGATAAGTTCAAAAATTTGAAAACATTATTTTTATATAATTTGAAATATGAAAATTTGGAAACAATTGAAAACAATAAGATAACTGAAACATTGAAAATTGAAACTTTGTTCTGATATCAGTAGTCAAGATGTGTACATGTACAACTGAAAATTTTGCTCTAATCTTACTTGAAATATTGTCAACAGAGAGAAAAATTAAAAACCTGTTCTAATATTTCTATTGAAAGTAAGCATATTTAAGAATTATATCCATAACATTGTTCCGTTTCACTTACTGCAGTAACATTAATAATGAAAATTGAAATTTTTGATCTCTTATATCACTACAGAAAATTAGTGTTACAGAAAATTGTAAACTTTTTTCCCACAAAATACATGTAAGCAAACCTGTAATGAAGCAATACAACCGCCCTAAAAACTCAACTATCTTTAAAACTGTTCCAAATGACACAGGCAGGCATCGAGAGCAAAACTATGAGGAGGTGATTTCCACACGTGTTAGTGACGTAAGCAAAATAATGAAGACCGCTGACCGGAAATGACCTTCTGATTAAAAAACAAGTGAATAGATGAACGAAATTGATCTAAATATTTATTATACTGTTCAGACTATTCCACAAAACCTTATAGAATTGATGAACGGGTGAAACAGTTCGCGATCGCCTACGAGCACTGTCCTTTTTTTAGAGTTAGTATTTTTCTTTTTGGAAATCTTGGGGGTTAAATTGGTACCTGGCATCAAGGAAGGAGCTGCAGTTGAAGGCAGTGCACTTGGGGATGGGGTTGTCACTACTGGATGATCTGTCCTGTGGAGGGAGGGGGAAGCCACTATTGTTTAGCAGGTTCCGTAGAATGGGGTGACCATTGTTGGAAAACTGACACCGGTAGTTGGAAGAGGGTTTCGGGAAGTGAGGGAATTACTGATGTTGAAGGACGGGTGCTGAGAGATAAGGTGGTCATTGTTTTGGGACTGGTACTTGTAGAAGGCTGATGAGCTGGGGTAGGAGGGGTTACTCTTGTTGAACAGGCTCTGTGGGACGTATGGCGGCCGAGTTTTAGGGGATGGAGTTGTGGTTGCTTGAAGTGGAGTGATGGGAGTAACAACTGCCTCTTCAGATCTGACTGCCTAATCCAGACCTCTTATGGGCTGGTATCGTGTTGATGGCCTTGCATGGGCCCGTCTTGTCACCAGATTCACCCTTGCTTCTGGACGAAGGCTCCTGATGTATACATCATCAAGGGCTTTCTTGACCTGTGACTGTCTAGACCTTCCCACCGGTGACTTTTCCACAAGATACCTAGTAAGGTGCCTTTCTCCATTTTCATCCTCAGAAAGGTCACTCATCCGAGCTAGGGTAGGTCAAGCATCCTACGGCCAGCCCCACCATGGCCTTTTTCTCCTCTGACCAAAGCATGTTTCTGAGGGATGCGAGTTTCTTCTAAATTTTCTAGGCAATCAGAGAAAGAACACAAAAGTCAGCAATTGTTCTATCTAACTAGAGATACACGCACACTTTATACTGAACGTAAATCTGACTCTTCAGCCTATACCTTGATGCAAGCTTTACGTCTGATGACGTTAATCTACCTTAATGCGCCTTTACGTGCATTATACTTGAAAACTGACGTAAAGTTGCTAAACGAACTTTACGCAGATTTACGCAACTTTAATTTACCGTAAATCTCTTTTTTATAATTGGCTGTCTCATTCGCAGTCTCTAGATTCTTGTGTTAATAGAAAGAATTCTTAAGCTCATTTACTCCGAGGGTGGAGCGGTTTTGATTCAGTGTCGTAAAACCATAGCCTAAGTAACCGTTAAGTAACGATCAAATTAAAGAGAATCCCAAAAAGTGCACGAGATACATACGGAACAATAGAATGAAAAATGATTTTAAAAGTGCGCGAGACACTTACGCAACAATCCGATGAAAGAGAATCCTAAAAGTGCGCGAGACACTAACGTAACAATCAAATAATAATCCTATAAGAGTGCGTGAGACACTAACCTAACACTCGAATGAAAAAATCCTAAAAGTGCGCGAGATACCAACGTAACAATCCATTGAAAATCAGTCCTAAATTTCGCGTGATAATAACGTAACAATCAAATAAACAAGTGCGCGAGATACTAACGTAATAATCAAATGAGAACAATCCTAAAATAGTGCACGAGATGCTAAAAAAACAATCCGATGAAAGGGAATCATAATAGTGCACGAGACACTAACGACAAACAAATAAAAAAAATCCTGGAAGTGCACGAGATACTAACGTAACAATCCAGTGAAAGTCAGTCCTAAAATGCGCGTGATGATAAGATAACTTTCGAATAAAAGAGAACCCAAAAAGTGCACGAGATGCTGAAGTAACAATCGATTATAACTCAATCCTAAAATGTGCGTGAGAATTGCGTCATTTTTAAATAAAGGAGTATCCTTAAGATGCACGAGATACTAACACAACCATTCATGAATAAAAGAGAATCCTACAAGTGTGCTAGATATTCCAACGTGGAACAAGCAAATCGAAGACAATCCTTGAGGTGCGAGATATTAATGTAACAATCCAATGAAAGAAAATCATAATCTCGTACCCTGATCATACTTTGCAACTGAAATGTTGTAACCACCACGAAAGTAAGAGAATCCTAAAGGTGTGCGGGTTACTAACACAACAAGCCGATGAAAAAGAATCGCAAAAGTGCGCAAGATACTAAACATAACATTTATTATTCATAACAAAAAAAACCATAAAAGCGAAATATTAATTTAACTCATAGAAATATATCTTCCTTGTAAATAGCAACTGTTGAAGGCCCTGAAATTTAACCATCAACAGTCAAAGGCCTTAAAAAATTAACAGTCCTGGATGACGCATTGTGAAGCATACACTACAAAAATAGAGCCAGTCCCTCAGGATAACCCATACCCCGGATGTATGGTGGCCGCGGTGGTTTGGCGCGCGTTCGAATGGAGTGTTGATTATTCCCGCCATTGTTGTTAAATTTATCATGGCTGTCGGTGAGAATTTTTACAACTTCTCAACTTCCTTCTTTCCGTGATGGGTTAAAAGTCATTCAAAAGGTTCTCTGGTTATTTCTACGCCTTGTGTGCCAAGCTTTTGTTTTATGTTGAAGGCTTTGTCTCGATAGCATGGATACAAGCGTGCCAATCGCTACACTAGCTGGCATCAGTAGCCTCACCGATCGTAAGTTTTTTTGGAATTTTTTTGCAGAAATTATCTATTTTACTGCTTTTTTTTTTCAGTGTGTAACATGATAATTCAAGTTGTATATGTGAGTCAAGGGAACGTTGAAAGAAGATGGACGAATGAGTCGGAAATCTCAAATTTTCACTTAATTTCTTTTTAACTTCCGTTGATAATATATTTTGGGCAGCCTTTGCATTCAGTAATTCATTCATTAACAAATGTTTCTTTCGTTGTAGTGCTTCCAGAGTTACCATTTCCTGGGCCTTCATCTTCCAGAAGATCAAATACATTACTTCGTAGTCCAAAGGTTACGGAAGAAGCTAGGGAAGTACTCAATCGACCTGACCGTTCTCTTGTTCAACAACTTTCTCAGGCACTGTGTATTTCAAAGTCAACTTCAGACCAATTGTGAGTAATTAGAATTTATAGAAGTTTTTAATGAAGTCGCATATTCATTAGAATGGCTTCCTTAGACAGTTTATCTCTTCTGATCGCCATCGATCAAATGTGGTTCTTTTCATTTCAATGGTGGAAACAATGAAAGTCACGAAGATGAACTTTTATACCAAGTCACGTCATATCATACTATTTAAAGAATGATTTATAAATAGTACGTGGAGTAACTTTTTGTTAATCCCTTCTGTTTCTTGTCTATTTTATAATAAACAATAATTTTTGAAAAGGGGAAAAATAGTAATGTTTTGATTTTTTTCAAACTGAACTGGCACTGTACTAGTTTGTTGATAAAAATGCAAAACATTACAAAATGGCAGATCTGAATTTGAAATGTGTATGTAAACATGAAATTGCTGTTAAATGTTCATTTACTCCCCCTAAAATATATGCTATTTTTTCTACTTTCCCTCTTGTATTAACATTCTGGTAGTTCTGTTCGTGATTTTTCTTCAATTCTGAAAGTAATTGCTGCATTTCATTTATGATATCATAATACTCTAATTTTAGCACCAGTTACTGCCTTTTTGTATTTACATATAACAGTGACCAGATGGAATTTAGTGCCAAAAAATTATGGATCTTTTGCCAAGCATATAGCCATATCCAAAGAAAAAAGAAAGGACTAAAGACAAGTATTCTATACCTTGGTGAATGGGTTTTTTTATCATAAAATTTTAAGGGTTTTCATTTTCAAATTCTGTAGCATTAGATAAAGTTTGGACTTGAGGCAGAACTTGAAAAGCATTTATTTCAGACACTGACTGCAAGAAAAATTGCAATCTTTATTTTAACTCCTTCTTGGCCAATTTACTCATACTTACACACACTGAAAATTGAGCTTTGAGCATTGGCTATCTAGAATTAGTTAAGGGTTAGCAAAGCCTGGCAGCCTTACAAGCTGGGAAGTTTTAGTGATAAAGTGCTTTTGATTGAGTGTTGTAAAACAAAAACCTCAGTAATCACAATTGCTATCTAACATTTTGTTGTTATGTAGGATCTTGAAAGATGGAACAAATCAAGATGACAGCATTTCATGCCAAGGAAGCCCACTTCTTCTTCAAGCGATTGTTTCGCAAACACCCAATGTGTTTAATTCTCAGTCAGTGAAAACTGTTTCTGAAAGCTACCAAGATCCACAAGGTAACCTGCCAGTATGTAAAGTGTGATAGTGTAAACCATAGTCAAAGACTATTAACTTGTAACAGCCCAACATCACTTTGTGTCTTTATACGTTTTTAAAATACTGACAAGGAAAAAAACTTTCTTTAACTATTAAGAGCATCATTAGGTGGTGACTGTTTCCTTTATTCTCATGTGGGGTTTGAGCCAGGCTGTGCCATTGTGCCAATCCTTAACTGCAATTGAAATTGTCCCTTAAAAAAACAGCTAAGGGGATAATTTGTCTCCTTCAAAATTTAGGGAAAAACTCAAAAGGAAGCACACACAGAGAGTTTTATTTCAGTACAGAAATTGCAAGCTAAAACAGAATGTGGAAAGTATACTTTATCGGATGTTTAAAGTTCATTCTAAAGTCACGTTTCAGTCACGCTCTACTGAACAGATATGTCTCATGCTCAAGCAAGCGTGGTGAATGCACCGGGCAATCTTTACTGTACTTTTCACAAACATGCAAACTCTAAAATTCAAAAGCCACCCTCACAATTGCTTTTTTCACCGCTGTCAATCATAATTACAATCGCAAGCAACAAACCTTGAGACACAGAAAGACACAAAATAGATTGAAATCACCAATCACAAATCACAAATCACAAACCATAACCTTTTGAACCCATTAAAGTAAATTTTTGTTTCCCTAAGAGGGTCATTAAGATGATTGAAGGCAGTGAAAAACACAATCAGACAATTTCAATTGCAGTGCAGGATTGGTGCAATGGTGCAGCCTGGCTCAAACCCTGCAGAGCAGCAAGGATCTCTTTGAATTTTGCCAAATAAGGAATACCATTAGCCACTTGGCTTGTGCAAAGTGCAAGCCTGTGAGCCATGCAGTGGATAGATACAAGAAATGGACTATCATCCTTCATTCGTTTTGAAACTCCATTGTTTTTTCCTGTCATGACACTTACTCCACTGCTGCCAAATCCTTTCATTTTGTCTTTGTGCAAGTTTCTCTTTTCCATTAGCAAGTTAACAGCAGTGGTAATAGCATCAGCCTTTCCATTCTGAACAATGATGTTTTCTAAAAAGTGCAGTTTGGGGTTAAATTCATTCAATAACTTAACATAAACAAAAAGATTTTCATGATTAATGACATCAGGTGATTCATCGATTAACAGGGAAAAGAATGGCGATCAATGGCTTCTACTAGTTTGTCAATGTTAGACTTTAGAACAGTAGCAATAGCATCTCGCATACCTTCAGCACTTTGATGAGATTATTTTGGAGCATTTCCTCCCACTTGAAGATTTGTTTGAGGCCAACTTCATCCAGAAAATTGAGCAGTGAGTTTTACTTGACTGTTGCTACATCCTCCTTGGCCAGCCAGTAGACGGCTCTCATTGCTGTGAGAATGACTTGTGATTGTGCTCTAAAAACATGGTGCTGTGTGTTGTTGAATGTATCCCTCATAGCTTCTTCATTAACAGCATCCTCATGTTCTTTACAGTCTTTATGTCTATGCAGAGTTGAGGTTCTAAAATTTGTACATCCTTTTGCTGATGCAAAGGAGTTTGTCTTAGATTTCTGACAAAAATAGCAGAACACCACCTCCTTTTCATAGTGCAACCATGTGTGATCTGCGACCAAGTTTTCTGGAAAGTTCGTGATTTTTTTGGTTTCTTTTGATCATTCGTTTCTTCCTGATTAATACACTGTTCTTCTACGGTATCATTTTTCTCTGATTCACTCTGGCTTCGATTTGGAGTGAAAAAGCTTTCTAATCTTCAAACATGTTTTTGATGTGACATGTTACCACGCTTTTCACAAACATGCAAATTTTGAAGTTCAAAAGCCAACTGACGATTGCATTTTTCGCTGCTATCAATCATCTTGACAGACCTCTTAGGAATGAAAACTTTACTTTAACAGCTAGATCCAACAGAGGAATTAGTAAATGTATGTGTACCAGTAATTAAGAAAGGAATTGAAGTTTACAAGGGGATGCTAGGACGAGATTCTGCTGTGAAATGTTTTGAAGTATAAAGCATAGTCATTGATCCTCTGTTTAAATATAACAAGGAAATAAAGTCTTAACCAATAACTTAAATTTTCTTGTTTGTATCACTTTTCTTGTATTACAAGGATCAGGTAAAAAATGTTTTTGTTGGCTTGCCAGTATAAATGTAAAAAAAAAAAAAATGTTGAATAAAAATTTATTTGTCTGTCCCCCTAAAAATAAACATTTCCCCCAAAATTCTTGCTAAGGGGACAAATTGTCCCCCGGTGATCAAATCCTAACTCAAACCTTGCTCATGACCTTAATGTTAGACTCAAGGGTGATATTGTATGGTGAGATTAGATGCTAGTCACTCTTATGTGTTAAAGGGTTAGGGGCTTAGAGGTATTAGAGCACTAGAACTTCAAACACCAACTAAAGTCAAGATGACTGTTGAAAACAGCTTGCCAAATTTGCAACTTTTATTTCAAGTTGAGTTCTTGTTAATTAAAATAGTCCTGGTTTGAATGCTAGCATCTTTTAACCCTTTCACTTCCAAGATCTCATTGGTAATTCTCCTTACTGTCTACTATACAATTCATATAATGTTAGTTCAGAGAATTTGATACTGGATCAACTAATAATCCCATAATTGATATTTTTCTTTATTCTCATCACCTACCTGCTTGATATTGTATTGATTTTGAAAGGAGAAATTCTGTCTTGGTCACTTGTGGGAGTGAAAGGGTTAAAGTTATTTTTTGTTATTGTTGCAGGTTATTCTCCAGTGGGATACAACCCAATGTCCCCTCGCCAGAGAGTTAGTCCTTCAAATGTGAGATCGCCATTGTATGCTGGTTCTCCTGGAGGGTTGCAGGCAAACTCTCCTTACATGAACTCACCAGAACATGCAGCTAGTCTGCGGTTAATGGCATCCAGTCCTCACACTTTGAAAGCACAAAGCCATCCAGTACCATATCCTCAGTTTAGTGGAACTGCTCAAGGTGCCCATAACACTGCTAGACAACCAAGATGTATGTACACTCACACACATATGTCTGAACTATGAAAAATTATTTCATCTGAAATTGTAGACTGTAAATTGTTGAATTGAGTAAACTGATCTGCTGTACTGTAAGGTAGGAAAAATATGCAGTGGGATTGGAGTGAAATGTGGGTTGTTGAGGGCTTAGCTCATTAGACCAATTGGGAAGAAGTATAGATTGGTGTGAGAAATGACTGATGTACGTGTATACTGTATCTCTTAAACACAAATGGGAGTCTGGGTGCTATGCTATGGGGGATTTGTTACCATTTGCAACTGTCTGACTCTGTACAAATCACCCTTGTTGAGAGTAATAGATTTCTGCTTCTCTCATCAGTGTAATTCTCTCCTAAATTCTTAGGAAGCCCCTTAATGGGCTACAAGCATCTCTACATAATAAATAATAATAATTATAATAACTGTTATATCTTAACTAGCTGAGAGTGCTGTACATATAAATGGAGGCTCACCAAATGTACCTTTGATGCAACCTCAAATAGTGCTGACTCCAACTCAGGCATTTTCACCAGCAAAGACAAGGCATGGTAGACATTCTCTCTCCAAGAGTGAACTACAGCAAAGTACAAATCAGAATGTACCCAATAGTGATCAAGGTTGGTTCCTCAGACCTGTCACTCAAAGTTCATTTAAGTGGTACCAAAGGCTAATTTGGTGAATTTTCAACAATTTTGGGAATAAAATGTCTCATGACAGATTTGTTGCTATTGTTTAAACATGTGATATAAGATTCTACATATAATCTGAGATAAAAATAGATTACATGGTTAATTGCTTGCTCATGGTTGTGAAGCAGCCTAAAAATTAGAAATATCATTGAAAATTTTAGATTAAAAAGGCTGACAAAAACATTAATGTGTTTTTATTGCTTGGAAATGTAAGTGGTCAGCTATAGTAGAGCTCTTTCCCAAGTTGCATCCATGGTTAAGAAGTGCTTCATATTTAATTACCAAATGGTTACTTATGAAATGGATTGTCAGAAATGTCTTATAAAAGATATACTGCATGAATGGCAAACACCATTAGACCAGGATCTTACCTGTATCTCTATTTTGCTGTGAGATTTAAGGTTGTTTTTAGAGAGTCTTTCTTTGTACCTGATAGAATATCATTATCTTTTATTGTATTAAGCATTTATGTACAATGAGTATTTTTGCTGCCTGATGTTTGTGTGCGCAGGTGTATTAAAAGCCCCCCATCCTAGTGAGAGACAAAGGAACATTGACTTGTCTACAACTGTACAAAGAAACTTGAATGAAAATGAATTTTACCAATCTCATACTCAAGTTGGGAGAGGAAGTGTTCATAATCAGAGTGTCTATGATAGCCTCAGTGCCCTGGAGGCACTTGCATCACAAAATGGCTTTAATTTTGATCCCTCAGTTCTTGGACAAGCATCACAACAGCTAGCTGCAATTAATGAGAAGCAAAAGAATACTCATTTACTTGCTAGAACTTCTGGACAGTCACATAATCAGGAAAGTTTGTTGAATAGAACAAGTGAACGAGAGTCAAAATCTAAAAAAAGACGTAAATCATCCAAAAGCAAATCGGAGCTTGACGTTGAGGATAACCCTGGTGAACTTACTTCAATGCAGGTGTACAATTCTCAGATTGTAGAATTAGACAATATGCTCAAGGAACAACAAGGTGACATACACTCACAGTGTAGATCTTCAAGATCAAGTAGGAAGTCTGTGGAAGACCCTTACAGAACTAATGTTGACGCTGTTGATGAAATGCACACCTTAGCACCTATGTCAGCAATGTACTTACATAAAGAGGAGCCAACACATTCTAATATCCTGCCAAATAGAACTGAAAAACCTTTGACACCTGAACACAATCATCTTACATCACCAAATTTAAAGGTGTCCCCTTCTCTCAAGGGACTTCAGTTGTACGTTCCAAAGCTAGTCATAACAAAAGTGAAGCAGCGAAGAGGTTCTAAAGAGGTAGAGACACATCAAGTAAGAGAGGTGTTACCAGATAGTGAAAGTGAGATACACAGGAGCAAAAAGCGAAGGAGGTCTAGTGATGATATGGGTAGAATCAACAGCAGCCATGAATGGGATGAAGGTATTAATTTTTTCCTCTTTATTCATATTTGTTGATAAGAACTGAAATGTTAGGTTGTACTTTCCTTTAGACTATCACTAAGCTTTGATGAATACATGTACTGTACAATTTACACTAATATGAACAACAACAGTAAAGTTATTATTTGGTAGAGAAGAGAGGAAAAGGGGGGTAGAGGGGAGTTACATGAGAGAATTGTCATTACTTATCTTGTGTCAAGACTTGGAGAACATTACATGAGGTTTAAAGCAAAGGGGTATCTTCATCAAAGTGGTTGGCTACAGAGTAAGATATTTTATGAACAGGTCTTAAAAGTGTGGTGAATCTTGTCTGATCTGCAGACACAATAGTGCATCATTTGTGAACAAAATATGTACACTGACCCAGTTGCACTCTTTTATAGCCCCACCTAAGAAGAGGAGTAAAAGCAAGAAGCAAAAAGTCAAAGAAACACATGAATCTGAAGGTAAGATAGAACAACTTTGAATAGAAAGCTCAGTTTATGAGATATAGTGTGAACCTCTGTACATGTAGTTCTGGATCTTAATTGTAACTGTGCTTCTCACAAACATTATCATACTCAGTACAGTTTTGAAACATAGTTTAAACAAGGTAAGTGCTTGAGTGTAAGTGCTAGAGGGGTAATGTTTCACTTGTCCATTTATGTAGAATGCATGGCTGTATGTTTGTTAAAAGCAAAAATGACACTTGATATTGGTCTCTGTAATTTTAGATATCATGGAGACACCAACCTTCAGGAAACTGGGAGATTTACTTGAGAACCTTTTTGAATTTGATGATGAGTGTAATGCACCAAGCTTTCATGATTTGGGTAAGTTAATGAGGGTGATTCCGAAGGAGTAGAACATTTTGTATATTTTTTATGAAACTTGGTACACTGCTGTGAAGATTGGAGGAGTTGTTAAAAATGTTGTAAAAGTGGAGGGTCTATGTTTTTTCGGTAAAAGACAAAACTATTTTTAGAAATTGACATTATGATACATGTAGATTAAAATAATGGTATGGTACTTTCTCTCACTCCAAAGATGATCAGGAACCGAAGCCAGAAACCCTTCTTTCAAGATCTATTGTGCAAGAGTTTTATGCTGAAATGGCAAAGCTGAAATCTTTAGGAGTTTTGCATAAGGTGAGGCACCCATGTACCTATAAGCTATAGACATTGCAAGTGAATGCCCTTTGTGGTGGGTGCAGTCAAAACCATACTAAGCACCCACACACATCAGTGTGCAGAAGGTAATGTTACAGTAAATGATCTAATCTATTAGTATGGATTTAAATTCCCTACCAGTTATTGAACCTTTCTTCTTTCTATTCTAATCAGGTGCCCTCTGATGATTTGATGAGGCTTCTGCAAATAATGGAACGGCATATCAGGGATGGCTTACATTTACAGTTGCAGTGCAATGCAGACCAGGTGAGACCATGCATATGTTACAAACTTGGATATTAATTTCACCTTAATCCTTTGGTTTGGGTATGGGTATGGGTATGGGTATGGGTATGGGTATGAAAATGAACTTTGTACCTTACAGCGAGTGTAAAATTTCATTGCAACAAGCATACATGTATCTTATTCAATTATATTTTTAGATGTTTAATACCAAGAAATCTTTCTTGTATACCATTGTCTACTTTTCATTCTTGTAGCAGTATACCATAACCTAGACAGACACAAAACAGTGTCCATTGCCTTAAGGCATGAAAATTTGATGGTTGTTTTCATTATTTTCTGAAATAAATTTCATTTTGAACTTTTACTGTTTATTTGTCAGGATGATGATGAAGAGCAAAGACTGTGGCGTGACCTATGCCTTGACAGAATGGTTCGAGCAGTAGAGTCTTCTTTGGTTGTTCTTATAATCCTGACATCTCCTTCCATGCCTAAACAGTTATATCTTGAAGAGGTCATTGCAAGGGTTATTTCATTCACCAAGTACCAACTAAGAAGCAACATTTTCCCTGAGTATGACCCCATCTACAGAGAATCAGATCCTAATGGTAAGAGAAAAGTTTAGGTTGGTGAATGCCAAGTTTGTACATGATAGCTATTTGCTGAAGAGCAATTGGAAATCATTTTTTCAAAAGCAGTCATAGTGATTATTGATCAAAATGTATGTGTAAATTGGAAGGTTAGTCATGTTTTTTTGTCATACATCTGTAGTGTTCAACTTGTACATTATAGCAT